CAGAACAGAGTCCAAAGACTCAAATCAAAAATCTTATTATAAAAAGAAAACTTTGGAGAAGAAGCAAAAAAATATTAGAGAACGCCGCCTGCGTGCCACGCAATAAAAATTTATAAAAAAAGAAAATAAAATATATGAAGAAAAAATCCTTGGTGAGTGGGGAATAAATAATCAACGGTTGAAAAGAGAAGAAACCGACTCAACTAATATCGATCCAACGGCTGATATTTTTTTGCTTGATAAGGAGGAAAAGAAAAAACAATTTCTCCGATAATTAAAAATAAAATAAAAATAAAAAATTAGGGTTTTCTTCTTTCCCCTTATAAACACACAAGACCATTTACACAGAGCCATTGCTCCTCTCTCTCTCTCTGCTCTTAGAAATTTCTCTTCCAAATTCTCCAGAAGCAACCATGGCTAAAGGTCCAGGTCTCTACACCGAAATCGGCAAAAAAGTCAGGGGTAAACTTGCTCGATCTCCTTCTCTCTCTAGAATGCGACTGTTCGTAATCGGAATTAGTCGCTGGTTTCATCTAGGGCTTTGTTTGGATTCTATGAATCGTTTGGGGTTTAGGTGTTGAAATCTGTCTATGCATCGATACGCTTCGTGTTTTATGAGCTGATGATTGATAATCCCATGGATTCAATGTCTGGGTCACTCGTTGCATAGCTGTATTTGAGAAATTCTTCGTGGATCTGGAAAATGTCTGTCTGTATACAGTAGTAGTTGCCTATCGATTTGCGTCTATATTTGAGATTTTGTTTGAAGATGAGTTTTGAATCTAATGTTGATAACCCTTCCTCCTTGCAGATCTTTTGTACAAGGATTACCAAGGAGACCATAAACTCACTGTCGCTACCTTTTCCGATACCGGTGTCGTAAGTTTTCATGAATCACTTCCTTCATATCTTGACTATTTTGTTCGTGGAATGGGTTTGATTGTTACTTGAGGTTTAAAGTTTGTTAGTGATGGAATGAGATTTGAGTACTCTTGAGGTTGAATTTCTTCTAGTGTTCTGATTAAGACTATGGAATTTCAAAGTGTTTTTGTGTAGTCTACTTTCATGTGATTCAGTGTTCATCATGAACTTAACTCTTTTTTTTTATGTGTTAATTCGTTTCATTTTTTAGGCGATCACTACAACGGGAACGAAAAAGGGAAGCCAATTGGTAGGTGATGTTTCTACTCAAGTGAAGAACAAGAATTTCACTACTGATCTCAAAGTTTCAACTGATGCTTCTGTAAGCATACTTACTCAATAATCATCTCATAGCTTTGTATTATATGACCTTTTTTGCTTTAGCTTCTTGATTTCTCTGCTTTAAAGTATTCACTCGACAATTTGTGTGTTGATATTTTCAGCTTCTGACCACTCTTACCTATGATGAGGCTGCCCCTGGATTGAAGACAATCGTGAGCGCCAAGTTGCCCGATCAGAAATCTGGCAAGGTATGTATGATTTTAACTTCATTGTTTGTCTAGTTAAATATTTTTGTTATGTTGGAATCTGTATGATAATCATTCTGTGTTCTCTTTTAAACAGATTGAGCTGCAGTACTTGCATGACTATGCTGGTATCTGCACCAGCGTCGGGTTAACAGCTAACCCGATTGTCAATTTCTCCGGTGTGGTTGGAACTAATGTGGTGGCACTCGGTACTGATGCCTCCTTCAACACTGAAACTGGCAATTTCAAACACTTGAATTTTGGTTTGAACTTCACCAAGGATGATTTGATTGCTTCAGTTACTCTGTAAGTGCCTCTCTACCATATGTGAAGTCACTGATCATTCAAATTCCTTTTACGGTTTCTGATCTTTTTTGAGATTTTGTTAAATTGTTTTGAAGGAATGACAAGGGCGAGAAACTGACCGCATCGTACTACCACGTGGTGGACCCATTGACCAACACAGTGGTTGGCGCAGAGGTTAACCACAACTTCTCGACCAACGAGAACACCGTAACCTTCGGTACTCAGCACGCACTTGACCCATTGACCACAGTGAAGGCGCGCGTGAACAATGCCGGTGTAGCCAACGCGCTGATCCAACACCAGTGGCGTCCAAAGTCGTTTGTCACCGTTTCTGGAGAGGTTGACTCAAAGGCGATTGAGAAGACTCCAAAGGTCGGGATTGCTCTCGCTCTCAAGCCTTGATGAGAAAATTACAAATGGGGCCCTTCTGGGGGTAGCATAGTAATTTCATTTTCGGTTTTAAAAATCTTTTGACAAATCACTGAGTCTGCTTTGCTCTAAACAATCTTTCATTTGTTTTTATTTTCTTTTTTTGATGTTGGGGATTTGTAGAAAATAAAATTCAAAATTCAAAAAAAAAAACTATTTAGAGAATCTTCTTTGAGTCGATGGAACCTTATTTCTTTCTCTCGGCATTTTAACAATGCTCTGCTAAAAACTCTTCTTTAGTGGATTTTCTGAGAGGTTTCTTCTTACATGTCTCATTTATTTTGTAAGCCTTTACTGTTTTGCTGGTCAGATTGAGATTTGATTTTGTCTGATTTGTTTCAGACCATTATTACTTTGTTTTTTATGACTTGGTTGGAAGATGCACATAGTGTGGGTCCGTTTTTACTTGAAATATTCGAATCTATTAAGAGTTATTCTTCGTATTTAGACATTTAGTCCTCTCATTTATCGCTATATCAATTTTTTTTTTTTTTAACATTCCGTACATGTTTCAAATATTATATATTTCACAACGATTATCGAAAATAAAATACAATAGATTATGTTGTGAAACAAGCATATATGGGAAGGTCGAATTGCAGAGAACGATACTTATACTCTGGTAAAACAAAATCAGATTTCCATAGACACTGGATTCACTCCATCGTTTTTACATTGATCGATTAGGGAGTTACTGTAACATCGGTTAAAAGTATCTTTGCGGCCTAAGAACGATATAAGCTTCAGCCTTTAGGCTTTGTTCTGTTTTGCCTTTGTCCCCGCAAGAACTATGTAGTTGCTCCTTTAGGCTTAGGTGACGGAATCTGATGTCGAAAAGGCGAAGCACCATGTTGACCATGAGGACTAGACAGTGTCCGAAACACGGGTTGTTGTTGCCCGTTTCTTGATCCGAATCCGCTTCCTCCCTGCGATCGTATGGACCCATTTTTCAAACGTTCGGCTTGCATTGTCTGAAAGTAGTAAGAAGAGCTTGCCATGTCTTTGAGATGCGGAAGTGGTTTTAGTGCTTCGACAACATCACTCATCTTCGGCCTAATCTTGGGGTCACGGCTAAGACACTGAGCAGCAAGCTGAGTCACCTTTTGGGCACCTTTGATTGAGAAATGGCCTTCAAGCCTCGGATCAAGTAACCGGTAAAACCTTCTTTTGTCAAGTAGATGCGGTCTTGCCCATTCCACTAAGTTGTGCTCACCATTTGGGCGGTTTTTGTCCATAGATCGTCGTCCAGTCAGCATTTCGAGCAGAACCACCCCGAAACTATAAACATCGCTCTTTGATGTCAAATGACCTTAAGAAGATTAACGGGAAGCAAATCAACAAAGATGTACACATTGAATATTTCAAACCAAAGAAAATGGTTGAAACCAACGAGGACTCACCGGTCATTACATACTCAGGAGCAGCGTAGCCATATGTCCCCATAACTCGAGTAGAAACATGGGTTTTGCCTTCATCAGGAGCATCTTTGGCAAGTCCAAAATCCGATAGTTTTGCATTGTAGTCCTGAAAATGGGAATTATGGATTAAAACTGGTAGAAGTAATATAAGATGTTGATGGTAAGGAGTAAGATACATACTGCATCAAGTAAAATGTTTGATGTTTTGAAATCTCGATATATAACAGGCTTCAAAGCTTCTTCATGGAGGAAACTGAGACCTTTTGCAGCACCTAATGCAATCCTCATCCGGATAGACCAAGGAAGAGGCAACGACCCTTTAAACATAAAAGCACGGATATTGCAAGAAAAAACGATTAAACATTGACAATTTCAAAATGGTTTGATTTACGAGGTTATGAGTTTACATACTTCTGAAAAGGTGATTCTCCAAGCTTCCTCGAGGCATAAACTCGTAAACAAGCAGCCTTTGATCATCTTCAATGCAATAACCGACCAGCTTAACAAGATTTGGATGGAGAAGATTGCCAAGGAAATTAATCTCAGCCTGCAATTGCAACAAGCAGGAACAACACATTTAAAAGGAAACCGATATGAAGGAATATACGATAAGTGATAACGCCGTAAGAAAGAGAAGAAAAGGGTTTGTTTCTTACAAGCCATTCTTTGTGACCTTGAAGTCCATCAGGGTTTAAAGTTTTGACAGCAACAGTAAGTCCAGTACCAGGTTTAACAGGAGCAGTTCCGTTTTCTTCGATCCATCCTTTAAAGACACAACCAAAACCACCTTCTCCGAGAAGACTTTCGGGTCTGAAATTCCTAGTAGCTAGCTTAAGATCATTGAAAGTAAACTTCCTCAGGTTAGAATAAAGCTTAAGTTCTTCACTGATCATTGGAGTTGATGAAGAGCTTCCTGCATTGCTAGTTGTTGTTGTTGAGGAAACTGGACCAACTGGTTGATCATTTGATTTCTCATTTGCTGATTTACTTTCAATTGTTGTAACTAAAACAAACAAAAAAAACCACAAAACTCAGATTCAATCAAATAGGTAAAACTCCAAGACATAAACAAGTCTAAGCTCATTTCAAACTTTTAAAGTCCCTAAATTTAGTAACAAAGAAGCTAAAAAGGGTAAAATCACAACAATCACGTGAAAACCCTAGATAGAAACATTTAGTTGGAAGACAGTTATAGAAACAAAATTTCATTTTTCAATTTAAAGGAGAAAGGTTTTTATTAAACGCAAACGCCTCTCAAAAACCCTCTCTTTCTCGATACTCGGATTTTTAGAAACAAAAAAAATTTATGATTTTACCGGTACTGGTAGTGGCATAGAGAGAAGAAGAAGAAGCATCAAGGTCTGATTTTGAAGGTACGCAACCAATCATAAACCTAAATTTGACCCAACACCCA